GTAGTGTGAGAGTTCCTTCTTGATATGATCAGACTACTGAAACATATGGTGTGTGGATTGTGTTTGTCTAGAGAAACAAATTCATATGCATATAAGAAAGGATTGACTAGAGAAATAAATTCATATGTGTATAAGAAAGAGCTTTATATACAAGAGTAATTGAATATTAAGAAAACATCCCAGCCCAGTCCAGATTAAGTCCATAAGTCTGATATTAGCCCATATGTCTACACTAATCTATAAAGTCCTCTTCAGACTCATGAAACACATGCAATGATGACGAATCCAGGAAGATCACAGGCCAGTGGGTGGGAAGTCTTGTAGATCCAGTGGTGTTATAAGCATCTCAGCACTGGTAGGGGTCTCTACATGGCTTCTCCAGGTCCAGGGTTCTGGCTGCACCAGGGTAGGACCATGTGGCTTCTCCTCAGGGATGTCTCGCAGGGAGTCAGCCTTGTTAGTAAAGAGTCTCCAAGGGAGTGAGCAGAGAGAAAGTGTCTCCGGCCTCCAAGAAGGAATACAGGATTTCCCAGAATTCTCAGAAGGCCATGCCCACACAGAGGCTTCATTGGCTATGATTGGATTGACAGACTAGACTCCACCCCCTCACTCATAATCCTCTCAATTGACACCAGATTATGTAACTACATATGGATGAAGTGTCAATAAAACTGTTAAAAGAAGAAGAAAAGAAGGAGGAGGAGGTGGAGGAGGAGGAGAAGATTGGTGAGAGTTCATCTCACATACTCTGGACACACGGCATCTGGTGGGACCAGTCCTGGTTCTGGTACCTACGGCTTGCTATGGGTCAGCGCCAACTCAATAACACCTAAAAACAATGATCTGATGTCTGTGCTTGTTATCTCTTCTCAAACTTTGATCTTCCTCACCATTGTATCCTCACCACAGTCAGTGAAGGCAATCAAAGTCATTTTCCAGAAGAATAAATACAGACACCACATCACTACCTGTTAAGGAAGAGTCAGCAAAATTAGAAACACGCTCTCTCAGTAGTAGCATGTTGTATCTCAGATTTAGTCCTTTTCCCTCCATAGGGGAACCCCTCCCTACTGTAGAAGGCTCTCGGCGAGAGAGGGCAGGTGGCCACCACCAACTCACCGTTCAGGCGGGTAGGGGAGGGACAATGCTCCCCGGTGCACACACATGCCAGTGAAACTGTCTCTTGCACACTCTTAATTCTACAATTATGATCAGAGAGGTGTCTCACAATGAGCATATACCTCAGGAGTGCAGATTTTCTTGAGCTGGAGTGAACACACGATTCTGAATTATTTGCATCATTAAGCATTAATGTTGGGGGACAGGGACAAAAGACACCCTCTCTTGAGCCATCCCTTGCAAATTTCCCACACTGAGCTCTAGTCGATGTAATAATCATATGAGGCACTTCGTGGAGGACCTCGCACAGAGCAGGCCTCGAGAGCGGCAACCAGGCTACTGCCCAAAGATGGTGGACCTTGGAGAAATGGAAGAGGAAGATGTAGGCATGAGACAAGCACTTTTTTTCTCGTTTTTTAAAAAAATAGTTTTATTATTTATTGGAGAAAAATATTGTCTTGTCTTATCTGGTTTAAATTCCTATGGTGTCCAAAGACATCTATCTACTTGTATTTACTGCATAGTGTAGAGATTTTTTTTGTGTTCTTTTTTAAAAAAAACGTTATTAGGGGCTCATACAATTCTTATGACAATCCATACACACATCAATAGTGTACAGCACATTTGTACATTCATTGCCTTCATCATTCTCAAAACATTTCCTCTCCACCTAAGCCCCCGGCATCAGGTCATTTTTCCCCCTCCCTCATGAACCCTTGATAATTTATAAATTGTTTATTTTGTCAAACCTTGCCCTGTCCAATGTCTCCCTTCACCCACTTTTCTGTTGTCCATCCCCCGGGGAGGTCACATGTAGATCCTTGTAATCGGTTCCCTCTTTCTAACCCACCCTCCCTCTACCCCCCCTCAGTATCACCTCTCACACCACTGGTCCTGAAGGGATCATCGGCCCTGGATCCCCTGTGTTTCCAGTTCCCATCTGTGCCAGTGTACATCCTCTGGTCTACCCAGACTTGCAAGGTAGAATTGGGATCATGATAGTGGGGGTGGGGTGGGGTGGGGCGCAGGCGAAGCAATTAGGAACTAGAGGAAAGTTGTATTTTTCATCGTTGCTACATCGCACCCTGACTGGCTCGTCTCTTCCCTGCGACCCCTTTGCAAGGGAATCTCCAGTGGCCTACAAATGGACTTTAGAGCTCCACACTGCA